CCAGAGAGGAAGCACTTTTGCAGTTGGAGCTGCTTGGCAAAAGTTTGCTGGGTAAAAGTGGCTACAGCCGGGATACATGTGTCTTTGTGTGCGGGGGTGCTGGAGCAAATAATGGGGGGCAATGGGGAGAGCTAGAGGTTGGAGCCAAGCAACCAATTGTCGCAGTTATTTTTGTAATGCGTTGCGTGCGCCTGGGATCTGCAACTGCTTACGAGATATTTCTCAAATAACATGAAAATACGCAAAAATCGCAGCTGAGGGAGATAGTTGAGCTGTGGGAGGGGGCGAAGGGGGCGAGGGCACGCACGCTGGCGAGTTGAGAGTTGCACGAACTTTGCCCAAAGGACGACGACACGCTGGCTTCGCAACGAATCGAGCAGGACTTTGCGTAGTTTTAAGCATTGTCAATGCTGCGACTGCGAGTGCTGCTGCTGCTGCTGCTGTTGCTGCTGCTGCGAGTGCAGTTCCTTATAACATAAGCAACTCATAAATAACGCGACTGAGGCCAATGCAACTGAGCTGCAGACCAAAAAGGGGCGCCAGGCCACGTACTTACACTTTTCTACTTACTATCTGCGGGTGTGCGTGTGTGTGCGTGTGTGTGTGTGCTTGTGCTTGTGCTTGTGGCACTTCAACTCTAATATAAAGTTTGCGCTCGGAAATGTGCTGTGAGCACTTTTTGGTATTACGCAAAGTTTCACGAGCGCACCAGCCAAATGGGCGGGTGGCTGTGGGGGCGTGGCAGATGCCTTAAATGAAATACGAGAGCGAGGAAAAAGAATAGAAAAGGGAAAATAACTATAGAAAGGGGAGTAAAAATTAAATTGCTCGCAATTTGCACAGTTCAATGCGCTTTAGCGGTGCCAAGAGAGAGAGAGAGAGAGAAAGCGGAAGAGGGGGAGGGAGAGGATGAGAAAGAACGAGACAGAGAGGGATAGAGGTAGGGTGGGGTGGTGGAAAAGCTGCAAGCATTTTCGCACAGATTTTCATAACTTAGATTTACAGATTTTCAGATGTTCGCGCGCTCTGAACAATGCGACCAAAGTTCTGCTGACATATGTGTGTGAGTGTCTCTGTGTGTGTGTGTGTGTGGGCGTGACAGTGTGTGTACCTGTGTGCAGTGTTGTAAACTAATGCAATGACAAACGCAATCACAATAAGAAATTTTACAGTTAGTTAAGTTTGCCTTGTTGCGGGCAGGGGCGGAGCAAAGATTTTTACTCTGCTGTCGTTGCTCTCGTTGTTGTTGTTGTTGTTGTTGTTGTTCTTGGAATCTCGTTTCGCAATTTAGTTGACAGCAGAGAGAGGGGAAGAGGGACAGAGAGAGAGAGAGGGAGAGAGACACACACCTGTCTACCCACCTGGCCACATGTGCTCGTTTCACAAAATATGCATAAATAAAAATGGCGAAGGAAAAGCTGTTGAAATATTTAGAAAAATATTTAAGAATTATGAGCGACAACCAACCCGTCTCCACCCTCAGCCCTCAATCAAATGATAATAAATTGCGCAAGTTAATAAAAAGCAAAAAAGCTCAATAAAAATCGAGAAATCGAGAGAGACAGGAGTGAAGCAAAAAAGGGTGCTGATTGGCAGCGTCAGGGGAACGTTCGATTCCTGCTGCTCGAACCCTCATCATAGTTCATTAAATGCGTAAACGCATAAAAAATGCCCACAGCAGTCCACCCACTCGCACCCACTCCCCCTCTCTCTCTCTCTCCCTGTTTTGGCGAAGGTAGTGTGGCTGGCTCTGGCTACGGCAGCACATAAAAGCATTTATTTTGTCTTTTACTTTGTACTTTGCCTTGTGCCTAATGCATAAAAGCCAAACATAAATAAATTTTGTTTTATGCGCCAATAATGATGAAGTTATTATGATGACTTTATTAGGGCCAGCAGAAGTAGCAGCTCCTGCTCCGCCTTCTGCAAAACTTGAGCCCCAAAAAACCCAAAAACCAAAGCCAAAAAGAAGAATAAAAAAAAAAAAAAAAAAAAAAAAACGTGGCAAATCAGGAAGAACATTTCTGGTCATTTGCATGTCGAATTTTTAATACTCTTGAGGAGCAGTTGAAAGAGCGATAATTTCATAGGAGTATTTACTGACAAGGATTCGTTTTATAACACTTCGATGTTGTCAAATAAAAAATAACAGGTTTTCTAAAGTCGTGTGGCAAACGATTTTAAAGTCTACAGTAATGTATACCACCTTGGCCGATAATATGGAATAATGTCTATATACAATATAGAGCACAAAAGAAAAATAATTAAATAAAATAAATTATACAACAAATTAAAATAAAATAAAATAAATAATAAATAAATACGAAAATATTTAAATAAAAAATAAACTTAATAATAACTACAAAAAAAAAAAAAAAAAAAAAAAAAAAAAAAAAAAAACAGTCGATTTATAAATCATAAAAAACGACCGAATTAAAATTAAAGTATGTGTATATAATTGTAAAAAATAAATAAATAAATAGTTAGACCTCTTTAAGCAAAACTCTGTAGGCAATTTATTTATGCACAGAGACGAGTATAATATAGATTTATATTTCTATAAATAATATTTGTAATTTAAAATTTTATGTGAATAGTTAAGTTTCATAGACATTTGAATTGCTACATTGTATGCTATAGAGAGAGAGCGTTGAAGATATGCAAATACCAAGAGCATGCTTGTCTCTTTTGCTCTCTTCTTCTATATTGCAAGAATATCACTGTGAATTCGAGAGTCGAAGGTTAGTTTACATCGGAATCAGAAGATCGGAAGGAATCCGTAGATTGATGCTCTTAATCAATTATCGTCCATGTACGTACATACATCTGTATTATTATTGAGCTACGCTTAGGAATACTTTACTCTAAATTCCACTAGGACTTTGAAATATCTGTTTACTCTAAGCCCGTTAGGCAATATTATTTATGATCTATGTATTTTTATAGTGTCCCCTTCCTGTGACATTAGGTAGACTCACTTGAAGCTTTACGCTCGCCTCTTATAATTCGCTTTTGCCTCAAATACCCACTCGAGGCTTATATGATCGATTTCAAGTACTTCTCTTTTTGGTATTGCGTTACCAATGCCATGACAAAATTATAAAACACTCAAATTGAGGTTCAAATAAAACAAAAATTGAGAATATTGAGCCGAGAGCACATCATAAAAATGCTGCTGCCCTTGCAGAGCATTAAAAAAGTTTAGCGAGCATATTTATACGCACCTAAATAAGCACATATATATATACTTACTGTATGTATTTATGCATCAATATACATATACATCTATATTATGTGCTTAACCGCAGTCACTCAGCGCTTGGCTTTGCCTCACTCAATCTCTCTCCCTCACTCTCTCCCTCTCCCTCTCTCTCGCTCTGGTCCACTCGAGCGCAGGACGCACTTAAGCGACGTCTGAAACTTTTTTATTAAACTGCGCTAATAGAACCGAGTGCGGAAAGGTCTCGAAGTTGGGTCAATTTCCAAAATGGCCGCCTGGTTGCGCTTAATAAAATTTATGATTTCGACGCTCGGCTTTGACAGTTCAAATTAAAAAATGGGGCGGGGCTTCCTGCAGGTGACCAGGGAGGAGAAAAGAAAAGAAAAGTTGAAGGTGGAAAATGGCAAGTGGAATGTGGAGAGTGGAAAGTGGATGATGCCCAACTTAAATACAAACTTCACAGCGCAAATTGATAACATTTTTGCCAGTGCCTGTGCTTAGGGAGAAGTGGAGCTCGGGACTCCGAACTCGGCCCGCTTTATCCTTGGCTTCGCAACTGTCGCATAATGCAAAAAATGACATGGCATCGGGCGCACAATATGAAAGATTATGTTATGCAGGGCTGGGCGTCAAGAAACAGCGCAAACAGCGCGGAACCAGCTGCCCCCGTCTCCTGCAGCTGCCCCCACCCCCTGCAGCTGCTGCTCAGCTAGAAACGGATGCGCTGCCATCAAATCATTTTGCAGGCGGAAAAAGCGCTTGACAGCCATGCCCAGTTCCAAGACGGAGCATGTGGAAGCGGGCTGCGGCCGGTGCTGGGCCCGGCTCGGCTGCCCGCCATTGGCAGCATTTATGGCGCTATGTAAAGAAAGATTGCAGAATGCAAAAGCAAAAACCAAATAATGCACAACAAACAAAAGCAACCAAAGACACACTACGCTACAACAACAGAGATGCGGGCTAAAAGCAAGAATAAGTAATAGAAAAAAAAAAAAAAAAAAAAAATAGAAAAAACTACATCTTGAATCAATGTCGAATTCTCATTACCCTGAGCTGACAGAAACTGTATCGCAATGTACCGTATGGATTGACCCTGAAGTTGATCAATCATTGTCTGTCAATCATTCGCTGTGTAAGTCATCAAGGGAAGTACTAAATCTATTTCAATATTCTTTATGATTTTCCTTGCCAACTTTGATCATTGATTGATTCCTCTATGGGTAACTCATCAATCAGATAATCAATCATATGCTGAAATCGTACAAACCTTTTTAATTTTAGACGGAATAGATTATATGTTCTCAAATGTGTAGCTTGACTACATCATATATTGATTGATCAGTCAAAGGGAAAATCAATCTATTAATCAGTTTCTGCGCTTATGGAAAAAAATGAAGAATTATATTATTATTATCTCTTAGTTTATATATTATATTATATTTACATGTGCTACCTGCTTTTTTTTACTGTTCAATCACTTAGTCAATCAGTCTATCCCAGAGTAAGGCTGATATATGCAATGTTAAATCTAGAAGGAATCTTGACGATTGTCAGAGTAATCTGATTGATATATAGTCAATGAGTCAGTTAATCAGTGAGTCCATTAATTTGTATATCAATCAGTTCAATCAATCATTTATCTATCAGTCAATCAAGTCTGTCAGTCCACTAGTGAAGTGATCAATCAGAGCTCAATCAATTCATTGTCTTACATATGCCAAGACAATCTGCTGATACTCTCAGTGGATCTACCGTGCGCAGTTAGAGTATGAAAACATAATCAGGGTGGATAGTTGGAGAAGTTGCAAGTGGATGCTAGTTATGGCAGTTGACCAGCGCATCCGCCGGTTCAGCCGCCACGTTTCGTTGCCCAGAGTTATTTTCATCATCATTTTTGCTTTTTTGTTTAATATTTTTCTTTACATATACATATATATAGGTTTATTTTATTTTTTATTATTTTTCGTCCTTGCACGCTCTTCTGTTTGACTTTCATAAAGTTTTAACGACTTTTGCCTCTGCTGTCATAGCTCAAAATGTCTAACATGTTCAGCAGCCGCAGCAAAAAAACACTGAGGCAAAAAAATCTCAAACAAAATCAAATAAAAATAATATAGAAAATAAGAGTAAGAGCAGGAGCAACAGGAAGAGGAAGAGGAGCATGAAAGAGCAAAAACTTGTACAACTTTCGACTCGTGCTCGCTCGTAAGTAATTTTGCAGTCTTCACTGGACATCAACTTGGATCGCCTTTCGCCAGTCAGCGACGCACTTGAGTTCGCTTCATTTCAGCATCAATTTCTGCAGCCCCCGCCTCCTGCCTCTCGCCTGTTGCCCGTCCCCTCTCCAGCTCAGCCAGTTCGGCACACATTGATGCTCTATTGAAAGCCTGGATAAGTTGCACTCTCATCCAAGATCCAGCGCTAAACGCTTCTTAAATGCTTTGCCTGCAACACGGACAACGTTGACAAGCAATTACACGGGCTACACGAATGCAGATTGTAGAGAATGCATGACTCTCTGATACCCTGTCATGGGGGCTGTAGCTACAGCAGTCATAAATTTTGGAATAGAGATCAATGACAAATCAATATAGCAGCAGTACCTAATAGTACCTAGGCTAGGCGAAAATATATATATATGAATTGACATATACAAAGGGTTTAAGTAAAGTTAGTATATCATTACAATTTTGAGTCCTCAAGCCAGTCTAATCAAGTTCATAAGGTATATCTTGCAAAGTTAAAATGCAAATATATATTTGATTAATCGATAGACGCAATTGAATAGGGTAGGTAATTGTAGTTGTAGTTTGGTAAAGTCAGAAGTAGTAAGATTAAGGATAATAGTAGTAGGAGTAGTGTTAGATTTGGTAATGGCTGCAATAGTAATAGAAATGTTAGTACTAGCTGATAATAATAGGAAGTATAAATAATAATGGTAGTGGGAGTAAGAGTAATATGTATTAGTAGAAATGGTAATAGCATTTAGTAGTAGAACAATTTGTGTTACTCGAAGTATTGTAAAATTGATAGAATAGGTAGTAGTAGAAGTAGTTGTATAAAGAGTATTAGAAGAAATTGTAAAAATTGTAAAAAAATTTATTAGAAGTACTTGTAAATGATTTATTATTTAGTAATAGGGTTAGTTTTATTTGTCATGTAGGCAAAAGGAGTAGAAATAGTTGAGCTAGCATTAGTAAAAGTAGTAGTAGTAATGATCTTTTGAGATTCACCTAAACAACCTTTCATGCCTCTCGCTCTAAGTCTATCACGAATATCACATCACAGGAAAGCGAGAGAAATCAATAAGCTCTTTGAACTTGTTTGACAACAGTTATAATTATTCCTCGGCACGTGTTAACTGTTTATCGCCATGAAGTGGCAATTTGTAGGTCGCATAAGTGTGAAGAACACAAGTTGATGGCAAATAAATTGGAGATAAATTGGAGACAAATTTCTTGGCAAACACTGGGAGCCTGTGCCAGATCAAGTATACGCAATGATAGCCCAGAACCAGCATGGGTTAAATTGAAACCAAAATATGTGACAATTTCAACAAGATTTCAAAATTAAATTTGACATAATTTATAGCGTTTAACCACCACACACACACACACCCACACAGATTCTCACACTCACCAACGGACGTGTCGGGCGAGCTGTATAAATATACAAACAGTAAGAGCTACGGATATGCCAGTGCGGTCTCACACATTCATCATCTATTTATATAGCCATATGACAAAGCCCCCTTTCTCCCCTGCCCCACTTCCGTCGCCCTTGTTGCATATTGGTTGACCCCAACCAGAGCTGTGACTGCGTGTGTGAGTGTGTGTGTATGTCCCTGGCTTTGGCTGATTTCCGGCTGGAACCGCTGGTAGCCTACTAACCTCAATATGATCTGGGCATGGCAGCTGGAGGCGGCGACGGCGCAGCTGGCCGGAGGCGTGGCAGGATGCGTTGTCCTGTCGGCCAAGTATTTTGCAATTAGTCAATGCTCGTGGCACAGTTTTGCCGCCTGGCTGCCCTTGGCCACAAATTAAATCATATAAATGGACAATTATTTAATGGCCGGGCAGGAGTAGGGGGGTCGGCAGGCAGCCAGGCAGGCAGCCAGGCAGGCAGCCAGGCAGGCAGGCAGCAGGGCAGCCCGGCAATAAATCAATTGGGAGCCAAATGGCAAATGGCAAATGGAAACTGGAAAATGGAAAATGAGCTGCGCGCTGCGTATCGACTTGAAAGTTGTGTGTAAATAAATGTAAATTAAAATGCATAATTTATGGGCAGACGCAATTTATTTATAAACCGACACATTAAAACGCAAAGATAATGTAAAGAGTGCATGTGTGTGTGTGTGTGTGGGTGTGGGTGTGGGTGTGAGTGGTGGGCGTTGGGCGTGGCAGTCAAGTCAATTGCTCATTTGGTTTTGGCAGCACGCAGCTGCCTGGCCGCATAACAACAATGCGACTGCTCCCAGCTGACCAATGAATGCTTAATGTGTGCCACAGAGTGAAGGAGTGGAGAGGAGAGGAGAGAGAGAGTCGTACTGCTATGGGCATTAGCTGCTGCTAATTGTATGTGTGTGTGTGTGTGTGTGTGCTGTGCTGTGCGTGTGTGGCAGCTGCTTATCAGCGCTGTGTGTGCGCCGCGTCAGGACTTAACTGAAAGTTCGCTTATCGGCCACATTTGAGCCCCTGGCGCGGTCAGCATTCGTAATTATATAATATGAGTACACACACACACACACACACATACACTCATATACACTCACAGATTGACGTTTTGTGGCAACTCGTAATTCAATCGAACAAAAGCTGCAAAATTGTGGCAATGCATAAATAAATAAAAATACATTTTTAAAGCGCCAGGTGTAACGATTGCAATGGAAAACTGTGACTGAGCGCGGTCAAGGGAGGGTCACGTCAGGGGTGGGTGGGTCCAGGGGTCAGGGGTCAGGGGTCCATAGCCAAGTGAGTGTAACTTGAGCTTAGCAGCTCATGAATATTGTGCTCATGCAAACGGGTAACGAGCTGTCAGAGATTAAGTTGCAAGCGTTACTTTTTATTATATTTACCGCGGTGCGAGGCGGTGCGAGGCGCTGGGCAGTGGGCAGTGGGCGGCGGGGGCGTGGTTGCCTTGTCGCTAGCTGCCCAGATAAGGGCGCAAAATATAACATTTTGCATATGCTTACAGCAGGGCACATCAGCGGGGGCTGGGGCCAAGGCAAAATCGTTTTGACCAGCGTGCAAGGCAAACAAACAAAAAGCAAAAAACAAAACAAAAGTAACATAAACACAAAGAAATGGTGGAAAAGGGGGCAGGGAGAGGGACACAAAACGAAAAGGGAACAGTCGAAAGGCAGATGAGAGCTGCGCAGCAAGCCGAAACGAACACTCTGATAGTGGTGCGAAGGGGGTGCTGGCAGGGGCTATGAGCAGGGGGCAAGGGACAGGGGGCAGGGGGCAGGTCAGTGTGCAGCCCCCGAGGACCCAGTTGCAAGCGAATTTATGCGCTTTGTTAAACAGCAACAGCAGCCAAAAAGGAAAATACACAGAAAAAAATATGGCAACAGCACAAGAAAACAACTAACAGGCAGCACGGGTCGAGTTGACACGACTAGGCGGTGCTCTGTAAGAGAGAGCGAAGCAAAAAGTTGACATACTTTGGCGTGAAACTGTTAGCTGATGTACTCAGTAGAGCTATTCTTGAACACTGATTAATTTCTATATTTTTGTGAGTCTATTTATATATGTGCTAAGCAAAATATTCGATAAATACCCTACAAAAGCCCTACCTTTACCTAGGTGAACTCTGAAACATATCGGAAGTTCCCATATTCCAATCGGCAACATATAGCAATGGTAAGTCCCAACTAGGTTTCGATTATCAAAGGTATAAAATTATAGACAATTATCGATTTTAATAATATGGTACTAATAACCTAATACAAGTCTATCAATATTCTCAAATAACTCACTTGTTCTACAGGAATTACAATTTTAACCATTTCGATGAAACGATATTTATCGATTTTACAAAAATATAATATAAATTATATTGCCAAAACTAAATCAAAGGTTAGACCATAGTCTTGACTATGTCTTTTTTAGCTAATTTAACTTTCCTGTTTCACACGCTAATTCAGAGATTTCTCAAATCGATATATATCGACATTTGTCAAAGCAGGAATATTAGCAATGTCATAGATTCAAATTAGCTCAATGCATACTTACTCGTTATTACCCTTTGCTATCTTCTAATCCATTAAACCCATTACCTCACGTACAGGGTATGGAAAAGAGAAACGAAAAGCATAAGCAATGCGCGGCAGCAGCAACAGCAGCAGCAGCTGAAGAAGGCGCTCGATGTGGGCATGCCTGGGCGTGCATAAATAACGCAAACGGGCGGTCTAGCCCCCGTTCCGTCCCCACCCCCTCTGCCCCTCTGCTATGCAATACAAATGAAAATCGTGTTTGCGCCGGGTGTAAAGTGGCATGTGTAGTGGTGCAGCGGTGCAGTGGTGCAGCGGTGCTCTGCAACATTTACGTTTCTTGCCGGTGATTTACAACAAAACAAATATGCAAGGCAACGTCGAAGGGCATGGCAGGAGATGTGGAATGGGGAGGGGGAGAGGGGAGTGGGGAGGGAAAAGCGGGGCAGACAAGAGGGATAGCCCGGACAGCTTACCTTGCCAGCCACGCGACGCAGAGCCCTACCCGCCCCCTCCTGTGGAGCTGCACATGGCACTTCACTTTGGACTGACTGATTTACAAGGCAGCTGGCTGAGATTGGATGGCGCTCTGTAAATAAAATAGGAGACGGCAAATGCAATTTTCGTATTTCGCATTTTTGAAAAATAATTAAACTTAAAGAAGCCTGCAGCAGCAGCAGCGGCAGCAGCAGGAGCAGCTGCAGGGGTGGCAGCAGGAGCAGCAGGAGCAGTCGATGAGGGAGCTGCGGGGCTGCAGTGCGTCTAAGTGCCCTTTGTGGACAAAGTTGCCAGCTGCATTGGTGCAGTTAATTGCAAAGTTTGCTCTTAGCGGCAGGTGTCAAGGCTGCAACAGCAACAACAACAACAACAGCAACAACAACGACAACAACAGCAACAGCTGCTGTGGGGCCAATTCGGCTATGCATATTGGCCCAACGGAAGCGCCGACCATCGTGTTGCATATTTTCGATAAGATTTCGCCTTTTGTTCTCTCTCTCTCTCTCTCTCTCCTTCTCTCTCCCTCCCTGCCATACCCTATATGCATTTGGCAACAGCTGGGGGCTAGGCCACAGCTGAGCGGAAGTAAATTGGGTCGAGTTTTGCCTGGCTTGTTTATTAAACAATATGCGCTGCCGCTGGCTATTGGTTTACAGGGTATATTCCAGACCAACATTGCCTGGCTACTGTATTTACATGTGTTTTTTAATATTTTTTATATAAATACTCCGTGTGTTGGGGCTGTGCACATTTATCAACGGAAATCATAAATAAAATTCGCCGCATATTTTACGAGCTGCCAGTGAAGGCGGCTCAATGGGGTATATTGCATGTGCAGTACTTTGGTGACAGGATCTAAAATTTGTAGTTTATCAGGCTATATCGCAAGTTGGGTATAGAATGAACAATTACATCATAGACACGATTCCAAAACTCAGACAGTCTGTACACAATATGGGAATGTTTGAGTACAACATAGTCGTTGTTTCTCTCTCTTTCTCTCTCTCTCTACACTAATTGCAAGAATATATTAAAAAGACGATTGCTTATAGAGTAAATTTTAAATTTATTTCATTCTCTTTTCATTTGATATGGGTTTGCCATAATCTGTCACTCTTTAACAGTGCAGCCTAGTCTCTCTCTCTCTGTCTACCCCTCTCGCATTCACTCTTTTCCATCAATTCCCAAAGGGAATGCATAGATATCCAAAAGAGAATAAGTTGTGTTACTATACGTAGTTTTTATACTTAGGCATGGGTATTCTATAGTTTGGTATATTTTGTCAATCCTGCCTTCAGCCAACAAGTACATATTTAACATATATAAATTTACAAAAAATTTAGTTTGTATTAATATATTTTCTCATATAGTATATATTGCTTCGTCCTGGGTATTTGATGGTCTGTCATACTCGGACACCTGGTTACTCGAGCTGCCGTTGCAGTCAAAAGGGAAACATACAAATAAGCCGCACGCCCATCTCTCGTATCTATATGTATATTTCTTTTAATCTTTTTAATTTACAATCACGCTCATTGCGAATTTTAATTGTTGCATAAACGAAGCGAACAGCAAAGGACAACAGGGACATCGAGGCAGAGGCCAAAGACAACAATGCAACAACAGCTGCAGCTGCACCGTGGAACAACGAATGCTTCCTTTCATTATCAGTGGAAATCAAAGCGAGGAATCATCCGTTTCTCCTGGCTATTTAAGTTTGACCAAGTATTGCGGAATAGGCTAACGAATTTGTTAATATTCCTATATAAGGACTATATATAATGAGAAAATCATTTCCCTCTTATAATACATCTACCCTAATTAACAATCAATTCATAAAACGAAAGGCTAAATTTAGCAGAGAGCCTAAAAGGCTAAATCAGTTAACTGTTTTAGTCCACTTTGCACTTTCAATGAATTATCTGCCTAATGAAAGTCTTTCTGAGTTTTCTAGCCTTAGACCTATTTAACAACTTTGAATTGTCTCGACAAAATCTCTCGGCCCAAGAGCTGAGACTTAGACTAAGCCTAGCTCACCTGCTTTCATTTGCAGTTTGAACAGATTTTGCTGACGAGTGACATTGACTGCTGTCTATGTGTGTGCGCGTGTGCGTGTGCGTGTCCTTGTATGTGTGCGTGTGCCAGCAGGAAGCCAAAGTAATGAAGTTTTGGTTGCGTTTAGTAGGGATATTTCAATATGTTGCCCAGTTGCCTAGGCAGCATTCAATATGCACTTTGATCGATGAACTGCATACGTGAGCAGCAGCAGCAGCATCAGCAGAGGGAGCTAGCGAGTCAGAGGGGGAGTGGGACGCCACTTGGCTATTGTGCGTCAAATCAAAGCAGTTCATTGTTGGCGTCATCTTTTGGAGAGCTTACGATTCAGGCGACGGCAATATCCTGAATAAATGCAAGCCTGACAGCTGGCCATTACTCATGCGCTCAGCAGCGGGGGGCTGCCGAGTGCAGGAGGCGGAGATGTGCTCCACTTGCCACGCCCCCTTTTCGGTTAGCTTGCCGTCAAATTTATGTTTTCCTGCCATAAGTGGCACCGCGTGGCGACGCATCGCT